CCTTCTCCTTCTCCTTCTCCTTCTCCTTCTCCTTCTCCTTCTCCTTCTCCTTCTCCTTCTCCTCCTTTGTCTCCTTCTCCTTCTTTGTCTTCTTCTTCTTCCTCCTCCTCTTCCCCTTCCCCTTCTCCTTCTCCTTCTTCCTCCTCCTCCTCCTCTTCTTCTTCTCCTTCTCCTTCTCCTTCTTCTTCTCCTTCTCCTTCTTCTTCTCCTTCTCCTTCTGCTCCTCCTCCTCCTTCTTCTTCTTCCTCTTCCTCCTCCTCTTCTTCTTCTCCTCTTCCTCCTCTTCCTCTTCCTCCTCTTCTTCTTCTCATTATTATTATTCCGCCTCCTCCTCCTCCTCCTCCTCCTCCTCCTCCTCCTTCTTTTCTCTCTCTCTCTCTCTTGCAGCCATCTGGTAAATATTCACTCCCAGACTTCGGAATGCACAACGGTATGTTTCTTCCTGACAACAAGGAGGAACTGATTCAAAGGGCCCGCAGCAATTCCTTCGTCGTTTCTTATACTGAAATCCCTTCGGCCAAAACCATCACCCTGGAATACGATAGGCTTTGCGGTGAGTCGGTACAATGCAGGTTGGAGGCAGCTGGCTGGGTCAGGCCAAGCAGAACACAATCTTTGCAGGATCGAGTCTTGAGGGACCCAGACTCCATGGCCTAGTGGTTAGAGGGGGGGGGGGGGGGGGGGGGGGGCGGTTCCAACTGTTCTAGGGAAGAGTTGGGAAAGAACCTGATGGGGTTCTGGAAGAGACAAAGCGAAGAAGCAAAAATCAGAATATAGTAATCTCGAGCGCAGCCAGTTTTCTCACTCAGGCTTCACCTCTTGATCTGGAGCTCTGGGAACCTTTGTGGTGGTGGTTGTTCGATTCCACAGCCTGAAAAAATTTGGAAATTCCTGGTCTTTTAGGCAGGGTTCTAGCTCCAAGGCCCCACTGACTCCCAGTAATCTGACTTGCAGGGTCATTCTAAACCAGAGGGATGGCGTGTCCTCGGTGCTGACTCGCGGCCCTGGAGAAAAGACACGCCACGAATGTAAATCTCAAGCTCCTGTTCTCACGACGTGCCCTTGGGGGTGGTTCTGTTTTATAGGACCAGCCGCAGCCGTAACCTCCCCGCCAGCCCAGAAAACGCTAAACCTGACCGTCATGGTCCATCGGTTCATAGACCTTTGCAAGCCGTGGAAGTGCTTGGATAGCAGCATCGAAATTGCCGTCCCCAAGATTTATCTGGCGGTAAGAAAGTCCAGCTGGGACCGTGGGCAGCTGTGCCTCAGTTTCCCTGACCATCACCCCTTCCCCGAGTGCAGACACGGGGGGATCCCTTCCGGGAGCATCAGTTGAGGTTAGTCAATTTGGACTCTTCCAGAGGCGTTGGACTACATATCCCAGAAGCCCCAGGCAGCCTGCCGTGGATCAGAAATATGGGGGTTCTTGTCCAGAAGATTTATAAGGTTCCAGTTTAGGGAAAACTGCTCCCAGTGAAACCACAATGGTCGTAATGAAAAAAAAAACAGAATAACACAGAAAGAATGATCCTGAAATCGGTTAAAACATTTCATAATTTTTATTATAAGCAGAAACTTTGTATCATGGATTCCGCTAAGCCTCAGCTGAGTGCATTATGAGGGTGAAATAAATCAAGTATAATCCAAGGAGAGAATGGGATCCAGCAACAATGCCAAACCGTCAATCACGGTTTGCAAAATAATAACTGGGTTCACATTCAAGTTCCAGTTTATTACAGTCACTGACCAATGTTTTAGACCAATCTAGAGCGTACAAGAGGAGCGAGGGAATTAAGAACCGAAGGAAAAGCGAAATACATTTGTGAAGTGCATAAAAAAGAGCTTAATTGCCCGCCTTAAGAGACAGGAAGGAGACTAAAGTAACGCTATAAAGAAATAAGCGTGCTAATCAAAGATCATTATTCGGGTGTTAAGAATTACATTAAGAACCCCCCAAATATTAGCAAGTTAGGAAAAAGTGGGCCTTGAACAACAGCTGGGCTCAAACGCCGCACGGAGATGAAACCAAATAATTCAAAATACGTTCAGTTGGTTTGTGGCCCAGAACCCGGCTTAATCAATACCCCCCAGCCGAGCCCACCGCAGCTTAGCGCGACCTGTGAGTCCAACCCGCAGCCCCTCTGAGCCCAGGCTTTCTCTCGCAGCTCTCCTGCCGAGGAGTTCTGCTAAACCCAGAAGCTTGCACGGTCTCTCCTTGGGCTGTCCCTGACAAAAGCATCGCCCAACCAACCTTCGATTCTTCTTCTCCCTTCCGCCCCAGGCTTTACCAGCGCGGGTCGATGAAATCACCTTGAAGGATCCCAGCTGCAGGGCAAAAGACAACACGACGCATTTTGTTCTCAACAGCATCCTGGACAAATGTTCCACCCAGCTCGAAGGGGGCATTCATGTAAAGAACCAGGTATTTGGGGGGGGTTGGCAAGCTGTTTTCCCAAAGGTCTCGGGCTGGGGCTCCCCAAATTCCTCCTCGCAAGCCGAAATACAGCAGGGCGTTTTATCCAAGCCTTTCTCTTAAAGCAGAATTATTCGAAGACATTTATATCAGTTAAACCAACCAATATCCATTTCTTTCTCTCTTTTTTTTAATTGCCCCAGCTCATCCTCACGCTACCTTTGTTTCCGGAGAAAGTCACGGTAAGAAGAAATTTCTTTTCGCTCTAAACCTAATGACCAAAAGATGCTGGGCGGGGGGGGGGGGGGGGGG